AATTATACGAACAAAATGGTCTTGGTACGCGTTAATTTACTTAGCAGAAAGTATATTGAAAAAAATAATTTATAAATAATAAAAAAGAAAAAATGTTTTACCATCATAGCGAATTTTAAAAAATTGTACCTTCTGTATTCGATAGCAAATTTGTTAATTTAAAAGAAAAAAATTGGCTTACCAATTTTTTTTAGCTAAATGGGCGTGGCATACTTACTTAAAGGATGTGAAAGAGGATAAGATTTCACCATTATCACGTAGACACTTTTTTTCAATGTTACTTGATTCCTTTTATTATATTTATCCTCATGCATGTAGAGATGAGTTACAAAGATAGAAAAGTGATACTTAGTTTGTATAAAGAGCAATAGGCAGTTAGAAATGGGGCTGCAACGTAGAGAAGTAAATATTAGAAAGGGAGTCAGACAGAGTTGCACACTGTCACCGCTACTTTTTAATCTATACATCGAAGACGCGATTAACATCATTAAAGACAGCACAACTGTAGGGATAGATATGCAGAGGCAAAAGATTAGTATGCTTAGATTTGCAGATGATATAACAGTATTGGCATCTAGCAAGGAGGAGTTAGAGATAACTTTAAATAAATAGAAGCGGTATTGACGAAACAGTACAGAAAATAAATAAAAGTAAAACAAAAATACTGGTTTGCAAGGGACAAAAAAGTAGGGAAAGAGCGAATATAATGATAGGAAACGAAAAATTAGAAGTGGCCGATTTTGGGTATCTATTAGGAAGTCAGATAAGTCAGGACGGAAGGAGTAGTTGAGATATAAAGGAGATGATAGTGCAGGGTCGAGTCGCCTTCAATAAAAAGAAGTCACTTGCTCGCGAACGGTTAATTTAGAAATTCGAAAACGATTGTTAAAGATGTATCTTTGGAGGACGACGCTGTACGGGTGTGAAACATGGACGGTGGGCGCTTTGGAAAAGAAAATGTTGGAAGTGTTCGAAATGTGGTGTTCAGGCGAATGATGAGGGTACCGTGGATAGAGAAGGTTAGAAATGAGGTATTAGAAAGAATAGGAGAACAGAGAACTCTATGGAAGTTAATAAAAAATAGGCCAGATAGGTTGGTAGGACACCTTCTCAGGCATGAAGGTCTGGTCAGAGACATGTTAGAGGCAGAAACGGAAATTAGGAGGGGTAGAGGTAGACCTAGATTAGATTACTGTTCGCAAATAGTTAAGAATATGGATTGTTCTAGTTTTAGGAAAATGCGAAGATTAGCTCAGGAAAGAAAAAGTGAAGGTGCGTGTCCAACCAGTCTTATGACTGATGACTTTATGGTGATGACGATGTTTACTCTAAAATAAAATTATTGAACTTGGTGATTTTTATAATTGATGTAAAGGAAGCCGATGAAATACAATTAATATACCAGACACTTCCGGTTGTTTTTAAACATGCATACCAAGATATTTTGTTAATGACAATAAAACACGTAGAAAAATAAAAAAAGTGTAAGTGATAATGGTGAAATTTTACTCTTTTTCACACCCTTTAAGTAGGTATGCTACGCCCTTTCGGCTAAAAAGAATTGTTAAGCCAATTTCGGAAAAATCTATTTCTCCATCCATGATGGAAGCTGTACATTTATCCCTAATGCTGTCCTGTCGTTAATATTATTAATCGCATCTTTGATATACAAATTAAACAGAGGCTGGGACAATGTTCATCTTTGTCTAACCCTCCTTTCTAATATTTACTCCTCTAACATATTGCTCAACATCTACAACTATATCTGTTGCTCTTTATACAAGCTATTATATCATTCTTCTATCCCTATATCTTATACCTACATTTTAACATCTTTTTCCATTTAAGAGGATCTATCGTTTCCACTACCATTATACATAAGGGTACTATGGTCTCGCATGTTCCCCTGTTCTTATAAACCCAAAATGGTCATCCTCTACAATTTTTGCCCTGTTGCTTTTTACCCGTCTGTGTACAATTCTAGTTAAGATTTTTAACACATGCAAAGTTAAGCTTTAAGCAGTCTTACACTATTTTTTAAGGATAAACTAACGTATTACTATTCAATTATTCAATATGTAATTATTTAAAATTGTGGTAATTATATCGAAACAGATGTACTTACTTATCGTAAGTTATAAGTGTATTTAGTTTAAAAAAGGAAGAAAGTTTTAAAAGGAGCTAATGTGGCTAGAAAATGGAAATGGAATTTGATACGTTTTTTAAGTTTAGAAATATCACACCTCAAATTTTATGCAAATATACTCCTTAGATACTCTAATTTATTCAACATTTCTTAAAAAATTAATTTTAAAAATACATGAATTACGTTATACTGTCCCAACCAAATGAATAAACCTTTGTTGCATTTTACCTTTTTATATTCTTACAGTTTCTTTTTGTTTCGTACTGATACAGGAACTTCGCGATTTTGTGACGATATCCGAGATATGATAGGTTTCTCCCCGGGACTGTATTGGCGATTCTGTTGGAGATTTGCAGCTCCTTTGTTTTTGATATTTATTATTGTCTATGGCCTGCTAGATTATGAACCGCTCAGTTACGAGGGCTACGTTTACCCCAGTTGGGCTAATGCTCTTGGTTGGACCATTGCTGGTTCTTCTGTTGCTATGATTCCAACAATGGCGCTTTTTAAACTGCTTACAACTAAAGGCTCTTTCTTAGAGGTAAGTTTTTATATTCGCTATTACTTTAATATTTTCTCATTTTAAACCTTTAACACAAAACACTAAAGAAGGATTTCCTCCCTATCCACTACTTTGCGTACAGTGTAGGACGGGGCGGGATAGAGATAACTTGTGTAATCTATCCTAACCTAACTGTATCTAACCTACCCTGCTTTGCTTGTTAAAAATTGATCGTTTTTTTTAAGTAATTGAGGTTATCAGTGTTTTTCATAAACCTTTACTACGCCAATGGTGATCATCAACAAAATGTCTCATCTTATGTGAACATACGTTAGAGCCCAGAACAGTACAATGATATTTAATTATTAAATTAAAACGTAACCTAAGTAATTCTTTGAAACAAATTTAACTTCTTTTGAATTCATGGAATTTTATTCAAATAAGAAAAAAAAATGTGGTTCCGCCCGGGATCGAACCGGGGACCTTCTGCGTGTAAAGCAGACGTGATAACCGCTACACTACGGAACCAACTTATTTGTTGAGTGTCTAAAGATGGCAATTATTCAATCACAAATAAATACGTTTATATTTCATAAAAATCAAAATTTATTTTATTTTATAATTGTAAAAATATGTATTTGACTTTTATTGTGAACTTGCTATTTGCACAAAATTCATTGCAACAATTGTTATAAGTAGTATATCTATAATAGGTGTTGTTTGTCTTAAGGATTTAATACCGATAGGTACCTCATGGTAATAAAATATTTCAAAAGATTACTAGGTGTATATATCAAAAGGATGCTATATAAGCATAATAATTATTGTTGTACGTACGTTGTACGTTAAAAAGCGTGAGCAAAAATGATACAAAATAAAATCTGTTAAAAGGATGGTGAAGCATGTTTTTAGTAGCTATCTAGGTACCCTACCTAAAATATAATATAATAATCCCATTATCATAATAAGCAGACGATCAGTCTCAGATCTGATAAATGCTTTTAAATCAAAAGAAACTATCGAACAGTATCCTTGCAAAACAATCAGTTTAATAATTACCGACTAAACATGCTTAGTGAATAATTCACCTAAGTAGATGCCAACAGCTGAAAACGGATGGGTAGAAAGACACAAACAGTTTTTATGGAATATTATTCACAAATTGCACAACTTCACTTTACGTTTTATCGAAAATGAGTCGATTCTCGATTCCACCTGGCCAATCACTATAGATAACACCGATCAGTCGCCGCACAACATAAACCAAAACCAAGTTTATTGCCTATAACTCTATAATGTAGGTACTCACATGGCTACTGCCTCGATAGTCCTGTAGTCCTGTTACGAAAGTGAGATGTCTACATCCTGCCTGCCGCTACCTACATTATACACGAGTGTCTTAAACTTTTTTTGTCAGCGACCCCCTTTTTCTCTCAAAAATGTCAGAGGACCCCCCTTTCCCAAAGAACGAAAAAATTCGGGAGGGGGGCTAATTAAAATCTGGAATCAGTTAATTTCTTTTGTTTAATTGCATTGAAACAATCATAAAATTTTGATCAATACCAGATTTATTTTTAGTTTCGGTAAAAATTAACAATTTATATTTTTCAGCAAATTATTATATGCAATTAACCTGTAATAAATTTTCTATAACCCTACACTTTGATTTGCGGTACTGTACTGCATTAATTATCTTTAAATGCCTTTTCCAAATTTTCCCCAGCTATTAGGTAACTGTTTTATGCTATTTATTGTTAAAATATCGGTAAAAATTAACAATTTATATTTTTCAGCAAATTATTATATGCAATTAACCTGTAATAAATTTTCTATAACCCTACACTTTGATTTGCGGTACTGTACTGCATTAATTATCTTTAAATGCCTTTTCCAAATTTTCCCCAGCTATTAGGTAACTGTTTTATGCTATTTATTGTTAAAATATCGGTAAAAATTAACAATTTATATTTTTCAGCAAATTATTATATGCAATTAACCTGTAATAAATTTTCTATAACCCTACACTTTGATTTGCGGTACTGTACTGCATTAATTATCTTTAAATGCCTTTTCCAAATTTTCCCCAGCTATTAGGTAACTGTTTTATGCTATTTATTGTTAAAATATCGGTAAAAATTAACAATTTATATTTTTCAGCAAATTATTATATGCAATTAACCTGTAATAAATTTTCTATAACCCTACACTTTGATTTGCGGTACTGTACTGCATTAATTATCTTTAAATGCCTTTTCCAAATTTTCCCCAGCTATTAGGTAACTGTTTTATGCTATTTATTGTTAAAATATCGGTAAAAATTAACAATTTATATTTTTCAGCAAATTATTATATGCAATTAACCTGTAATAAATTTTCTATAACCCTACACTTTGATTTGCGGTACTGTACTGCATTAATTATCTTTAAATGCCTTTTCCAAATTTTCCCCAGCTATTAGGTAACTGTTTTATGCTATTTATTGTTAAAATATCGGTAAAAATTAACAATTTATATTTTTCAGCAAATTATTATATGCAATTAACCTGTAATAAATTTTCTATAACCCTACACTTTGATTTGCGGTACTGTACTGCATTAATTATCTTTAAATGCCTTTTCCAAATTTTCCCCAGCTATTAGGTAACTGTTTTATGCTATTTATTGTTAAAATATCGGTAAAAATTAACAATTTATATTTTTCAGCAAATTATTATATGCAATTAACCTGTAATAAATTTTCTATAACCCTACACTTTGATTTGCGGTACTGTACTGCATTAATTATCTTTAAATGCCTTTTCCAAATTTTCCCCAGCTATTAGGTAACTGTTTTATGCTATTTATTGTTAAAATATCGGTAAAAATTAACAATTTATATTTTTCAGCAAATTATTATATGCAATTAACCTGTAATAAATTTTCTATAACCCTACACTTTGATTTGCGGTACTGTACTGCATTAATTATCTTTAAATGCCTTTTCCAAATTTTCCCCAGCTATTAGGTAACTGTTTTATGCTATTTATTGTTAAAATATCGGTAAAAATTAACAATTTATATTTTTCAGCAAATTATTATATGCAATTAACCTGTAATAAATTTTCTATAACCCTACACTTTGATTTGCGGTACTGTACTGCATTAATTATCTTTAAATGCCTTTTCCAAATTTTCCCCAGCTATTAGGTAACTGTTTTATGCTATTTATTGTTAAAATATCGGTAAAAATTAACAATTTATATTTTTCAGCAAATTATTATATGCAATTAACCTGTAATAAATTTTCTATAACCCTACACTTTGATTTGCGGTACTGTACTGCATTAATTATCTTTAAATGCCTTTTCCAAATTTTCCCCAGCTATTAGGTAACTGTTTTATGCTATTTATTGTTAAAATATCGGTAAAAATTAACAATTTATATTTTTCAGCAAATTATTATATGCAATTAACCTGTAATAAATTTTCTATAACCCTACACTTTGATTTGCGGTACTGTACTGCATTAATTATCTTTAAATGCCTTTTCCAAATTTTCCCCAGCTATTAGGTAACTGTTTTATGCTATTTATTGTTAAAATATCGGTAAAAATTAACAATTTATATTTTTCAGCAAATTATTATATGCAATTAACCTGTAATAAATTTTCTATAACCCTACACTTTGATTTGCGGTACTGTACTGCATTAATTATCTTTAAATGCCTTTTCCAAATTTTCCCCAGCTATTAGGTAACTGTTTTATGCTATTTATTGTTAAAATATCGGTAAAAATTAACAATTTATATTTTTCAGCAAATTATTATATGCAATTAACCTGTAATAAATTTTCTATAACCCTACACTTTGATTTGCGGTACTGTACTGCATTAATTATCTTTAAATGCCTTTTCNGTAATAACTAAACAACTTGAAATAATTTTTGAAAAAAGATGTCAAAATTGAGATTATTCCAAGTTGCCTAATAAAGTCTACTATTTCTACAGTAAATTCAGTAATTTACAATCGTAATTTGTAATTTTTGCGTTATCATAAAAATTTAGTTTTCTCTGAGTATTCAAATATTTCCAGTACATTTTCTTTTCTAGTAGAGTTTGTTTTTGAGATACTGGTCAAAATATGACAAAAGGCACAAAATTTTTTGGGAAATTTTCAAGGGAAACCACGATTGTCACAACCCCTAGACATTGTTTAAATTATGTTGTTGTGAAATGTGGACTAAATATCTAACTCGATTACATCAAAAGCCAAAATTGCAGCCCAAACTGTAACTGAAAATTAACAATATCATTTCAATTTTTATGATTTGTACAGATCCTTTTAATTAACAGGGTGGGTGGTCTTTTTTCAGAGTTCCGAATAATAGGGCGTTCGGGATAATCGGGTTCCTCGNGATTTGCGGTACTGTACTGCATTAATTATCTTTAAATGCCTTTTCCAAATTTTCCCCAGCTATTAGGTAACTGTTTTATGCTATTTATTGTTAAAATATCGGTAAAAATTAACAATTTATATTTTTCAGCAAATTATTATATGCAATTAACCTGTAATAAATTTTCTATAACCCTACACTTTGATTTGCGGTACTGTACTGCATTAATTATCTTTAAATGCCTTTTCCAAATTTTCCCCAGCTATTAGGTAACTGTTTTATGCTATTTATTGTTAAAATGCTTAAACATTTAAAAGCTTATTGTCGCGTAATCAAACACCTTTTTACTACTCACTAATTATCTTTCGAATAAACACTTTTATTATTAATTAATCACAATAACCCACACTTCGTCACTTCTTCCCTCTTAGTAGTAGTAAGAACCATGTGTCGCGTCGTAAATCGAACTCGTACTAACTAATCTAGAAAGGTCCAGAATGTGACGTGTAGAAAATCTGTTCTTCTTTGTCACTATGTATATTGGGTTGCCTACACGTGACAGTTTATGTTGGGTTTCCTACATGTGACAGTATTAAAGCTTAAAGATACAGATGAGGAAATTTTAAATTCGGAAGGGGAATTTAAATGGCATTTTATTAACCTGTCACATCGTCGTTAAAAAGTCGGTTAAAAATAAATAAAATTTCGCGATGCTATCTTCATCTTAGTTTGTATTTTTAGTTTAATTTTAATATCACCTCGTTACGACCACAGGTTATGGGAATGTAACTTTTGTATAAACTTTATTCGCGTTTAAACAACCATTTAACACATTTAGTAAAAAAATTTTTGTCTAGAACCCCAGTTCTGAAGTTTTCCAAATATTCAATTTTTAACAATATACAGACGAAAAATCACTACAAAAAAATTTTACTATATTTAATTAGGTCAGGTTGGGTTGGGTTACGTTGGTTCCTTTTTTAATATTATTTATTTATCCTTATTTTATAGAGAATTAAAATACTAACGACACCGTGGTGTGACGAGACAACGACAACAGTCCCTGTAAACGGCATTGTGCAATCTGAAAGTACTGAAGTTCGATTGGCATCGGCGAGACAATCCGGGGACGATCAAATCCCTGTAACCGACGTTTGAGGGAAGACGTGGAAACTAACAATTTTACCTTCACATTTTATGAGACAATGGTCCACTTTAATGTACGAATTTTTTAATTTTTTGATTACGTATTGAGCAATATTTTAGTGGGTAAGAGGGTAGGTATA